GAGCGCAGAGTCCAGTGTAAAGGCTGCACGTGTGACTTCTGTCAAACAGCTGGACCTCTGTGGGTCTAAATTCTTTCCTGGCGTCCGAGAACATGCCAGGTCCTCGACTGGGGCCTGAGCGCCCCGAGCCTCAGTTACAACTGAGCAAGGCAGGCCTGGGAAGGATGAATCTTTACCAGAAACACAGGCCCATGCCCCTTTCCTGCCCCTTAACAATGAACATTTCAGTTACCAAAATCCTGTTTCCCTAAGAAGCAAGTGATGGGGGCAGTCTGAGAGACTTGGCTTGTCATTGTACAGACACCACCCTCCCACCCTGAGACGCCGCAGTCCCACAGGAAAGACAGGTGCCAGCACAGGGTGGACAAGTGGTGGGCTTGTCCAGTACAGAGTGGCCACAAGCCTCCGCTTGTTTGTATTTTGTTTTTTAAAGGCTATATATACCTGCCCCCCATAACAGCGCAGCACACCAGGCGAGGTCAGCAGCGTCTCCTCCGCTGTTCCAGTGCTGGGCCTTGTGCGTGTTCTTGACCAGAACAAAGCATGCTGTACGCACGCCTGTCGTCCTCACCTCTAAACGCTACGGGGCAGGTCCTGGACAGTGCAGCTCCACCCCACAGCTGCAGGCCCGGCCGCAAAGAGCGCAGCACTGCGGCCGGAGAGCCAGTGTTTTAGACCCTCCTTCCCCTTCCGCAAATTGTTATCTGCGTATCAAAGGTGGTTCACAAGCCTTTTTCTAATCTTGATGCCACGTTCTTTATCCAGTTCAACTGCTTGGATGATTTGTAAGAAGCGTGGTGAGAGGATACAACCCCCACATCTTTCCGGATTTTAAACCACACAGCATCTCCTCGTGTTGAAATGACGACAGCTTGGTCTATGTACGGGTTCTCCGTGAACACAAAGTGTTCTGAGATTCCTGGCGGTTCCTTGTTGATCTGCTGCTCTAACAGCTTTTGAATTATCTTCAAGGGCAAGAGGGAGTGAAACTGCCCAGAGACTGTTTTTTTGATTGAAATAGAACCTCCATACCACAAAATTCACCTTTTAAAAACGTGCAACTTGGTGATGATAAATGTTCCCCACGTTGTACAAGCCATGACCAACTAGTCCATTCTCTGACGATCACTCACCACCTCTGTGCTCTCTCTCCATTTAAACGGATTTATATAACAAGTCGCCTCTGGTGTCTTGGTTTCTTTCATTTAATCAATCATGTGTTTTCAAGATTCATCCAAGCATTCCTTCCCACTGAGTAACACTCCATTATACAATCAACTGTGCCAAAAAGAATGGACTGGTGATTCAGGCATTTCAGGAGGAAGCTTATGGTCAAGAACCAGGGGTACCGAAGAGAGAAACCCAAGGTGCACTGACGGCATTGTGGGGAAACAAGTCTCCGGGAGTTGATGAAATGTCAATTGAGATGTTTCTTCCCACAAACATGGGGCACTGGCAGCGCTAACTTGTGTATGCCGAGATTTGTGAGACTACAGTAGGACCCCGGACCTCGATGCTAACCTGTTCTAGAAGGAGCATTCAGATGCAATGCAGTTGAGTTCTGAATCAATTATTCCCATAAGAAATAATTGAAAATGGACCAATCCATTCTCGACCACCAAATGTTTACCCAAACCTTGCCTTTTTATACAAAACATGACACAGACACTTCTAAGTAAATAAGTTCAGAGTTAGAATAATATAACAAATAAGAAACAGCATTAAAAGTTTTTTTAACAGCTACAGTATGGCCCATACCTTGAGACTGATGAGGATCTAGATCTGTGGACACGGACGTGGAGAGGAAGGATGGAGAGAGAGTGTCATTGGAAGGGGAATCCCCTTCCATAAAATCAACTGGTAGGTGCTTCTCAGGAGGTTTCCCCGTTGGCCTTTTTTCATTAGGACCTGGCTGGCTTTCTCTTAAAAAAGAAAAAAAAAATTGTCTAATGTGTTCTGCTGTTGGCGTTTCAGTAACTTTTCTATAAGGGTTTACTAAATTATCAATAATACCGAAAACACAGTTAACTAGTTCCTTATCATAACGATTCTTTTAAAAAAATTCTTAGGACCCATGTTTTTTATCTAAAAACAGTACAAAAAGCCACAAAAACTAAGGAAATCTTAGCAAAAAGCTTGGAACACAGCTGCAAAACGTTTAAGCAACGCATACTAACAACTCCAGCTAACGCCGAGTGACCGAAACACGAACTGCTTTTGTTTACAAACCACACGTATCGGGTCGAATTCCGATGTTTTGTGTGCGCTCCGATGCAAAACTGTCTGGGCACTTCGCCTAGAGATCTGATTATGTCGAGTACTGATGTGGTCGCGTACTGTTCTACTGTGCCTGGCTGTCTCTGTGTGAGGTCCATCTGTGGGCCCATCCTAAAGAAAGGTGATTTAGCAGAATGGAGATTGTCAAACATTTATGTCAGAAGTAAAGATGTGCTGACGCAAATTAAACAGTTACAGTGGAGTTGCAGGGGGAAAGGTAACGTGTCAGGATGTAAACGGCTAACGGCTCTAGCTGAGTGAGACAAAGTATTTTTCATTGATTTTGTTGAGAATATGCACAGCAAAGCACCCAGTTCAGCAGCTTCTCCGTGTGACTCAGTGATGCAGATTACATTCTTTGAGTTGTGCAACCTTTTTTACTCCCTCTGAGTTCACACCCTCTGGGCCCTAAACTTCCCATTGCTTTTACCTCGTTGAGTCCGTATGGAAGGTTCTTTTTCTTTTTTTAATCCTTTTATTAGGGGCTCATACAACTCATCACAATCCATACCTATTTCCATTGTGTAAAGCACATTTGTACATTCATTGCCCTCATCATTCTCAAAACATTTG